TTTAATGGAAGAATGTATTTTCCCTGAAAAACAAATGCTAATAAATCTAGAACTGTTTATATGATCTTTACAAATATTAATAATAGTATAACTGCTATTGACGATGTACAAATGTATACAAGTGTTACACTAATTAGTGAACTTTAGATTTTATCATGCCGAATAATTAATATTTTATTATTTTTTTTTTAATTCCGATAATTCATTTGTAAAGTTAGGTTAGGTTGAAATGAAAAAAGTTGAAGAAAATACCTTATATACCGATTCATGAAATGAATTGGCTTAAATTCATTTAAAATACGTACGCTCATACTAACTTCGGACTTATTCATTCTGAGGACTCTTCTCGTTTGTGTCACCCCATAAAATATAAATCTTTCTACCCACCGTTTACCGATCGGGTCATTCATTATCCTTTTAAAGTTTTTGTCATTTTAACCGTTTAACCCAAATGTTTATTCTGATTCAAGTGACAATTCAAAATTGGGTGTTGATCGCACGACTCAATAATTATAATTTGTTGTTGCTGTGATCAAGAGCCAAGACACCTTTTTCAACTATTGTTTGAAAAGTCTTGTAGAATAAAATAAATTTATACTTTTCTAAAGAATTGAGCAGAATTTATCTATCACATCTGGTTTTCCAGATATCTTGTCATGAAGTTTGAAAAAACCCTATGAGTATTTCAGAGGTGGAGATATCTTCAAGGCGTTTGATAGAGAGTAGCATGGTGTACTTTCATTAAAACAAATTGCTTTTGGTAGCGAATTTTTTTAGGAATAGCTTTATACAAGTGAAACGAGAGTTCATGAAACGAGTTCAGGATAAATTCTCTTTTGCAAATGACAGCAGCATTTGTCATTAATATTCATTCAATAATTCCAGATTAATAATTCAAAATCAGGCAGCAATAATATATAAGTGCAATTTCGTGTCAAGTGATCCAACTTTTGAAATCGATGTCTTCCGATTTGGATGAGGTTTTCTCAGCTCTATCGGTCAAGAACTGCCGGACTTAGAGGGGATCAAAGTTGGTCATACAGGGTTTTATTCAAGTTTGCTCAAAAGAGCAAAACCTGTTGAGGTGTGTTTCATTGTTCCATTGATATTGCAATGGAATGTTGTCCTATAAAATTAGGAACTTGTTCCCGATATTCGTAGATTTATGTATATGCAAAACTCGTTTATCCTCTAGAACACATCCATTTGGAGTCAATTGGCTAGTGGTTCGTACAATGCATTAAAGGGAAAACGCGTACTTTAGCCGTACAAACTTGACTTTCCCGCCACTTGCAATATACGTAACTAGATTTAAATCGAACTTTCAAATACACAACAACCTCTATCTCTCCCTCCACTATCCTCGAGTACCAACACAATATTCTGCATAAATATGTAGGTGTCATTCCCGGAGTGCTGGTGAAAAAAAGCTGTATGTTTTCATCTATGTATACATTCATATATTTGAATACTTGACCCAAAGAAGAAACTTTCCCTTTTCTGATTGGATAAATTTTATGAATTTTGATTTACCCATGAGAACCAACCGAACAGATCACATTGTGATTTCAGATAATTTTCATGACTTCTTTCGATAACAACATAAGAAATAAAAAAATATTGAAAAGTTTATGATGGAATTCGATATTAGAACAAGGACCAGGATTCAGTAAAAATAATAAAATTTGTCAATCATGCTTCAAACTTTATTTCTCTTAATCAAGTCGTAGGACTTCATCGTGAAATTTGTTTACATATTAGTCGAAGACGGGCGTGTCTTAGTACTAGAATGAATATATAATTAAGACTTTATTCGTTGTTTACAACCTAGGACCTCAATATTACAATTAAAAAATCGTAAGTTTTTAAGATTTCCAAATAGAAGACCTCAAATAAATATGAAAAAAATACAGCAATTTAATTATTGTTATGTTTTCACTCAAAAAGAAGAATACACTATGACGTTTCATGTTTATTAAAATGTTCAAAGTCACAAATTTAAAATAATCGGGTGTGACGTGTTATTCATGAATTTTTTTTCGGACTTTGAACAATAACATCATGTTATTTCGTTAAAAAGAAATGAATCATTATTAAAATGTTTTATAGTACCAAAATCTCAATTATTAACTAAAACGGAAATAATTTCCCAACAAATTTATTTGATTGCATTTTATAATACATTTTTCCTAAGTGTAAAGCTTTTGAGAATATGCCACGTGGTTTTTAATACTCGATTATTTTAAGATTCCCCCATTCTAATTGTATACGTACTAGTCATATTTTGTTTTTAGTTATTTTTTTTTTTTTTTGTTTAATTTTGCAAATAAACTGACCTTTAACAGTAAAGAAAAAAAAAAATAAACTAAAACAATTGTATAAAATTTGTTTGCCAATGATTAATTAGCACGTTCTTTTACATACTCTAAGTAAACTACTTGTGTATACATCAGTATGTACATATGTATAATATGTATACAAAAAAAATGTACTTAAAAAAGCTGAAAAAAATATTCAAAAATAAACAAAAACAAATAACACATTAAAAAAAATACCGGTATCAAAGTCTACTTAATAAAATGAAAAAAAAAATCTAATGAAATGCACCGAAATATTTATAAATGCAATTTTTACATAAACACAAATACACTTATTTTTATAATTTATTAATTCAAAGAGTCTTGGGGACAATGTCTAAGAGAGTTGGAAAGAGAAAACCCCTGAAAAATAAACAAACAAATTATTATCGAGTTGAAATGGCAATAAAAATAAATATAAAAAAAAAACTAATGATGATTTATGTATGTAGAAATGTTGAAAATTTTTGAATACAGAGTCCAATACTTCCAACACTTCAAATATTATATTGTATGTCATACGACAATTGCTATAATTGTTTTTTATCATTTCGTAGGAAAATTGATAATGGCGACTATGAAAACTGCAGCAATACAAGTAGAGAGAGTTGGGGGCTGTGTCTTAAATACCACAGGGAATTTAAAAATAGTACTTTTTTCGGGCTGTAAAGGTACCAAAATTTTGCTTAGGAATTCAAAATAAATACAAATATAATAGGTTTATTTTACAAGAATCTTTTAACTTTTTAGGTTAGGTTAGGTTGATAGGAGGATGTATACTACATCAAATCCGAAGAAATACACCTAGGCCACTATCTGGCTTGTTGTGCGCTCCAATTCATTAAAAAAAAATGTTCACTGAATTATTATTTTTCCATGTTCAGAAACTCAGTTTCCTGGACGTAATTCCTAAGAATCTTCCAATCAATGTTGGTTAAGAATGTTATTTCCGGAATAACATCACTTCCAAGATACTTGGACCTAACTTCGACGAATGCCTGACAGTGGCAAAGAAAGTGCTCCAGAGTTTCACTGTCCTCTCCACATGCTCTACATTCGTCTGAATCCACACGTCCAATTTTGTATAGATGTGCACGTAATCCTGTGTATCCACTCAGAATACGTACCATCATACTAACCTCAGACTTGCTCATTTTGGGAGATTTCTCGTCTTGCGCTCAACACGGTCACCCCATAGAATCTTTGTGGTTCTACCCACCGTTTCATTATTCCAAGAGGCTTTATGGGATTCTCTCATCCATTATTTTTAATTCAGCTTTTATTGCGTTTGTCAGATTAACTACATCGAGCTCCCTTCCCTTTAAAACTATTACATTCGCCCTTTCGTTGCCGACTACTCCCGAGTGGCCTGGTACCCATATGATGTAAACCTTACCTCTGGGAGAGTATTCAGTTAAAGCTTTCTTACAATCCAATACGGTCTTAACTTTTTAGTTTTAAAAATATGTAGTACGAATTAAAAATCGAATTTTTGAAATTGGAAATATTATAAGTCGAATTAAAGAAAAGCCCTAAAATAACTAAAAACACATCTCCGTGATTTAGAGATTATTGTAACAGCTTTAACTTTTTTATAAATTTGGAACTTTCGAAAATTTTTTTCGAAATTCAAAACTTAAATTTGAATTTAAATGCTTTTTCGAGGGACTATATTTAAAGGTCTCTATTTTCGAAAATTCTTTATGAATCCTTATGATGTAATATTACTTTTTCGATATCAATCAAACCTCAGATTACCGAACTTCGGAACTGGCGATCAGCCAAATAGTCTCATGTAAATCTTTTGAATAACACAAAGCGACAAATTTGATGGAGTACATACTTTTTTAAACCAAATACTTCCTCTTATTGAGGGATTATCAAAAAAGTTTAGATCTCATAAGGCATTGGTATATACCTAGTTGCTTTCATGAAAGCTCTTAAACAATTTCCGTACAACCTTGGAAAACTATGGGGATTGATAGTAAGAACAATGATATTGCCGATGTATTGGCGAGAGAAGGCGTACACTGCTGGGTATACCCGACGTAGACCAGTTTTAAGGCGATCCTCTCTTAGCTGGTGGTAAAAGTCATTGATTATGTGATTACAATTGTTTAGGGAATACCAAAAAATGTTAGGTCTCCTAAGGCAACAATTTCCGTACTGCTTTTAAAAACCACGGGGATAGTGCCAATACATCATGGGCACTATGCTGGGTGTACTTGACATAGACCAGTTTTGAGGCGATCCTCTCTGGTAGCTAAAGATTATGTTGCATTGTGACTCAGTGACAGTTTCTTTTTATCTGCATTAGACTTTAAATAACGACTTCCGTAAGAGTTTATGCAAAGATGAAGTGTTGCGGTAACTCATCTACTGAACCCTTGCCCTACTCTGGATACTGAATTGAGTTACTGATCTTGATCTATCTAATTTTCTTTTAGAGCGAATTAGGTTTGATTATTATCACCATGAAATCACTGACGTATTCTGGTTGGTTTTTTGATGAACAACTTTTGAAATGACTTCACTTTATAATCGATACGCCTTGATTATTACTGTAAAGATTTAGCTTCTGCTGTTATACTTCTTTCTCCATTTCTATTCTTTTCTTATTTCATTCTTATCTTATTTTTTCAGATTATTTTGTCTTACCATTTTGCCTCTTACTGGTTCACAGAAAGGGACGTTAACAGACCCAAAATAGAGATGTGTCACTTCGAATATTTAACAGTCTAACGTAGAGACCTACGCCCATGTCTCTTGGACTAAATAGGAAACTTTATTTCCAAGAGATGTTATATAAATTTTATATTCATTCGTGGGATCAAATAGTAAGACAAGTAGACCTTTGATAAGTCCCACTAAAGCAATATCAATATTCCTGTTTGAATTATGAATGTGATCGACAGATGATCTATAACAATGGATCCTAAGGTGCTACTGTTATTGCATTTTAAAAGCTACAAAAATATTTAATTTTTAACTCATCCAAATTTCTCTGTTTTTCAGATGAACGGAGTGGTCTTTATTATACAAATTTTAGAAGAGATCATCATTAATAATTTACCGGAATAAGTTTATTTCACATCCAAGGCAAAAGTCTTGGGTTTCCAAACACCCAATTACATCATTACTTGTCTTCTCCTGTTTTCCCTCGAAGGAAGTATCAAAATTGTGCTTTTGAATAGGTATGAATTATAGAACACAACGAGCTAAACCACAAAAAGTACCAAAAAATCTTATCATTACAATAGTACCCAAAACTCTCACCTCCAAAAATTCAATTACATCATTACTTGTCTTTTCCTGCTTTCCCTCGAAGGAAGTATCAAAATAGTGCTTTTGAATAGGTATGAATTATAGAACACTAAACCACAAATAGTACCAAAAAATTTTATCATTACAATAGTACAAAAAACTCTCATCACTGATATATACAGTCACAACAATAAATGAGTAATACTTGTACTTTAAAACTGAGTGAATAACAACAAAACAATTGCACACAAAATGAGATTAAGAGAAACTACTACTCGCACATAAAACTCACATACAATCGCACTACTCCCCACGATAAGAACTCTGTGTGATCTCGCATTGAATCGTATCTTTCCAACAATATACTCAAAGAGTCCACGAATCATACGAACAAAATAATCCACGAACAAGTTTGTTTTATTTTGTGACTTGATATTTTCAATATAATATCAGAGGAACCAATAGCTCAACAAGTCAGACATTAAACGTACGCGCTAAAGAGAGGATATAGAAAAAATATATAAAATATTGTACGGTTAAAATTATTTAAAAAAAATAATTAAATTAAAAAAATTATAAATTTTATAAAAGAAAACGGTGTTTTTTAAAACAAATTAAAAAGAAAGTGTTTTTCATTAAAATAATTTAAAACAGAAAAATATTAAAATTTAATAAAATAAAAATTTTGAAAATTTTTATTAAAAACAAACAAAAGAAATTTATTTCAAAAGAAATAATAAAAAAGTGTTAAAAGTGTTGCTTATTAACAATTTTGTTTAAAAAATATTAAAAAAAAAAAAACAAATTCATTAAAAAATGGCAAATGTTGAAAACAAAAACGCCACCGGAAATGGTAACTCAGCTTTAGTTGAAACTAAAGATGCACAAAATCTCTTACCCCATTTGGAATGTTTGGAACGTATTATACAATTGCCCGTGGTAGGAGCTGCCTGGGATAAATCTCAAGATGTTTATGGCAAAGTTAAAGGTAGGTTTTAAATAAAAATTTTCACTTAATTAACTGATTTGAGGTTTAACCTCAAAAAATTAAAAAGTTCATTGAACTCTTGAAAACTATTAAGATTGAAATTTGCAATAACAACCTTGAGTTGGAATGAAACCGTTTGATATTTTACAACAAACTTATGTAAAAAAATATACAAAAAAAAAACTCTTTGAAAAATGTTAAAGTTTCAATTCTCCTTCTCTCTCTCTTTTTTTTATGGGTTTTTATGCTAATAACTGTTATTGTAGTTGTTGTTTTGTCATTAAATTTAACAAGTTTATATATTTAGCAATTTTTTTTTGTTATATGACTATATGTTGTCTTTGTCAGCCGAAGTTTTAATTTTCTTAAACACTGTATTTAGGTCTTTTGCAAAATTTCTCTTTTATTTAATATTTACTTTCAAAAAAAAAACATTTTGTGTTTAAATATTTTATTATTATTGATAAATATTAAATAAGTTTTAGTTTGCAAAAATGTGATTCATTTGTATTAGTTTAAACTAATGTTAGCTAACCAACTGGTTTAGTTAAACTTTGGTAAGATAAACATGATCTTCAAGAGTTAATGTTAGGGAAATGATGTGATAAAATGAGTTTTATTAAACTTTGTTTGAACTAAACGAAATAAAAAACATTTGGAATATATTTTTTAGTTTATTGGCCGTTATTTTTAGAATTGTTTTGTTATTGTTATGAATTTCGAAAGTATTCTTTAAAAAATATCTCTCATTTTTTTTTGACGATCAATTTGTTTGAGTTTTATTTTCTTGTTTATTTCCCAGTTTTGTGCATTTTTCATATTTAAAATTTTGAAAAATAATGCGTTTTCTATTTTGTTTATGTTTTTATGCCAAAAAATACATACATATTTCAAATTTGACCTCCAATAATTTTGGCCAATTGCCAAGAGAATATTTTTTAAAAATAACCAAATTTTATGTTTATTTTAAAAAAATTATAGATATTTTTTAAAAAAATATCTTCCTAGTTTAGCGAGCTAAAAGATTTCGTTTAAAAAATCAACATAATTTTATAAACAAAATGCAAAGAAACTGAAATATCTTTCAACTAGTTAAACCTAGTTTTTATAAAGTATTGCCCCCTTGATCAAAGAGACTTACTTATCAGAGAACTAGTTACAGGACTGGATTTTAGTAATTAAAAACCGATTCTAGGGCTAAGGGTTTATATAGGTTTATATATAGATATTCTGTGATGAAGCTTTCAACTAACCTAAGTTAACTTAACCTTTTGTTAAGAACACAATATGAGCTGTAGATATTTGTCACCCTTTTTATTCATTGGGACTAGTTAAGTGGTGTGTCCTCTTTTCTCAAATTCATTTTAAAACAATTGACACACATTTCCCTTAGAGACAATATTTCCCCTTTTAATTGCTATACAATTTGTAATCATTTCAAAAAAAAGTTTTTTTCAACCTCCAGACTTTAAATGACAAAACAATAACAATTCAATTGTTTGCATTTAACAATAAGCGACTCTTATAAATGTTTATTGGGTTTATTGAACTATAAATCAATTATGGTTTTTCTTTATTTCTGCACAAATTAAAATCAATTATTTTTCAATGAACATTTCAACATCGTCATCCTCCTCATCGTACGAAGAGTAGCAGGAAAGCTTGTATATAAAAAAAAAATTTATTTTCATATTTAATTGAAACCTGACCTTTTCCACGTTTTCTTTTTATATTTTTTTTTTTGTAATTTAAATTTTCAATAAAAAATTTAATTGTTTTCAATTACAGTTTGTAATAAGTAATAAAAATAAAATATTATGTGAGAAAAATAATTTTATATTTAGCAATTGTTTGAAAATTTTGCTCTAATGGAAGTGAACAGCAGAAGTTAGAGAGGGGGTGGAGTAATAGTGGGATGGGTGTTGATAACTAATTATTTTTGTTGTTTTTAAATTATTTAAATAAATACAGGTGTAGTTTCTGTTTTTTTTTTTTTTTTTGTTATTAATGATAATTTCAAACGATAATTGCTCAATTATTTAATTAAGTGAAAAGTTAAATTGAAATTAGCAGTTAAATTTTTAATAAAGTATTGAAATTTATAGGTAAACTTTTGTGCTTTTACTGTAAATATATGGGAGGAAATTTCAAGATCTAGTAATCTAGAGACACTTTTTGAATTTTTCATAAGTTTGAGTAATGAAATATTTTAGTTAATGGATTTATTGTTTCACAGTTGATTTTGAAATTCCCTGCAATAGAAACCTCAAGTGGTGTCATCAAGTTAGTAGAAAAGTGAGATCATTTAATAATTTTTTTAAATGATAAATAAAATTCAATAGTATTAACTCTTAGTCCCATAACATAGAGGCAAATAGCACTAGATATTTGATTATGATTTTAAACAATTTCGGATATGGGAGGGACGGATATGTATAAAATTCTTTATAATTCTGTACTTTATTTTCTTTTTCATTTCATTAAAGCGATATTCTTTAATAACATTTATATTAATAGAAGTTTTTGGTGATAAAAAAAACTCTTTGTTTTTCTGTTATTAAACGTAACATTTTATTTTCCCCGATAAGATTTATTGGAAATTTGATTGGCTGGGAAAAAACCCACTTTTAAATAAGCAAAAATCACGTCAACCTTAATCTATAAAACCTTAATACGAAAACAAATAAAAAGTAGTTATAAATATAGTTCAAAAGTCCATAAATTATCGCAAAACACCTGAATAGTTAAGAAATGTACGTTATTAAAATCAACTAGGTTATACTTTTCAAATAGATTTTATAGATTCAAAACTTAAAGCCAAATATTTAAACACTAAATTGAATTTTTGCACACAACTTAGGAGAAACTTGTTGGGATTTAAGGCAAGCGGAGTGTTAGGAAGTTAGTAAGTTTAATAGTTATTTTAGTTAGGCCATTGAACTATGATCTAACGAACTACTTAAGCCATTAATAATTTAACAGAATTCTTAAAATGTTGTTATAATTTAAACTCTACCACTCTCCCCTTACTCACTTACTAGTACGCAAGCTAGTTCTCTCAAATGACAAAATCTTTTTTGAACTAATTACTTTATTAACTACCTAGAACCAGTTACCAGACACATATATACCAACTCTTTACCAAAATATTTCACTGTTATCAAAAAACGCAATTACTTTTACGAATATAAATAATATAATAGAAAGTTATATATTAAATATAATATTTTATGATAAATTTGTTTATAATACAATAACAAATTATTCTAGAAATAACTATTTATATAAATTTTGTTTTTGCCAACCAGATTAAAGTCGTCTATAAATTAAATAAATTGTAGAAAATTCTACAAATTGTTGAATAAAATTCCACTTGCCGTTTATAAATGCTAATATTTATTTATTTACTCATTTAGTTTTTTATTAATGTAAAAGTAAATAAATTGTAGTTAAAACTGATAATACTCATATACAAATACATATATAATTTTACATATTTATATATATTATTTATTATTCTAAGAAAAAATGCGCAATATTCTTTATAAATTAAATTTTAGCTGAATATTCGAAAAAAATAAATAAATCGAAAGTATTTAATATTTTTAATAATTAGTGAGTGGTTCAATGATTAATTAAAAATTTGTTTTAAAACTAATTTAAAACCTGCTTTTAAGCAGTAATATGATTTTTATATAAAAATTCTAAAATTTCCTTTATGGTTTTAATTTTTTTTATTTTTGGTGTTTTAAACATTTATTTTTCTTTTGTTTTTTTATATAAATATTTTGTTTAAATTTTATGCAAATTTTGTTAGTTTTGAACTTTGTACTTTTATTAATAATTTATTTGTTGAAATGTCTGAATAACAATTGGTTTTATTTATAAATTTTAATGAATAGCAACAAATTCTTGTTTTAAAAGGGGATAAATACATACATAAAAAACTAATGCGTCACATCACGTCACGTCAGTTTGTATAGTTTTATTTTGTATAAAATAATAAAATAGATAAGTCTAAAGTCTAATAATTTCTTGAAAGCTATTTAAATAAATTAAAAAGATTGTTTTGTCTTGTGAAAAAAACTTCTGGCTATTCAGAGAGTAACAAATAAGCTCAATGTTTGTATAAAAGTAAGATCGCCAGATCGGCCTAAATCAGGCATCGGCTGTGAGTATTAAATGAACTCTGTGATTGGTTTTCTGGTTTAGTGTGAGAGCAAGAAAGAGAGAGGGTTTAAACTCGTAACCATTGAACGTTTCTTTCAAACTTTTTTCTAGACTCACTTTTCTGTATAAAACAGTAATCGGCAAAAAGCTCTTTTAAGAGCTTTTGCTCTAATGCTTACAAAAGCAAACTCTGTTGATCTCTATTTATAGAGTAACAAATAAAACCAATGTTTGTATAAAAGAATGATCGGCAGAGAATGGTATTATGAGTTTTTCCTCTCATTTTTTTTTGTCTAAATCAGGCTTCGGCTGTGAGTAGTATATGAACTCTGTGATTGATTTTGTGATTTAGTGTGAGAGCAAGAGAGAGTTTAAACTCATAACCATTGAACGTTTGTTTCAAACTTTTTTCTATACTCACGGCACAAAGCTTTTTAAGAGCTTTTGCTCTAATGCTTATGGTGTGAGAATGACAAATGAGCTCTCTGATCGGTTTTAAGGTTAATGTTAAAGCAAAACGGCTCTTTGCCTATCTCTGGTGTAAAAACTGATTTGATTTGCTCCCATTTAATTTACTGATATTCGGTTGATCTTTATTTTTAATACAGAAATATATTGCTCCTGTTATTTAACTTGTTTTTATACTAATCAATGCTTTGGTGTGAAGAAGGCAGAGAGTGATAAATAGATTCTCTGATCGGTTTTAAGGTTGATGTGAACGCAAGACAACTCTTTTTCAATCTCTGGTGTAAATCCTGATATGATTTTCTAATATATTGCTTCTCCATTTTTTTATATTAATCAAAACTTTTTTCTTCTTTTTTTAATTTCAGGCAAAAACCGTGTCTTCAATTGGGCCCTAAATGCTGCCGAAGATTGTGTTTCACGTGCCGTAACCACTGCCGCACCCATTGTCTCCCGCTTAGATGACAAAATTCAATTTGTCGATCAAACATTAGTCAAAGGTATCGATAAATTGGAAGTCACCGCCCCCATCATTAAGAATACCCCACAGGAAATCTATGCTCAAGCCAAAAATAAAGTTATCGATGCCGTACAGCCCACCATTAATCGTGTGGTTAAATTCAAAGCCGCTGGACAACAGAAGGCAGCTTCATTGAAAGATTTAGCTTGGCAAAAAGCCAATGAAGTCTTGGCCACACAATATGGTAGTTTGGCAGTAAATGGTGTTGACACAACCACTGCCTTGGCTGAACGTTTATTGGAATATTATTTTCCCAAATCCGAGTCTGATGATGAAGAAGAAAATGGTAAGTAAATTGAAAAAAAAAAAAATATTATAAAGATTTGTTAGTGTTTTTGTTGTATTTACAGTAGTTGAGTTTTAAAATTGTATATGTATGTCAAGTAGTAGAATTTTCTGTTGTTTTATCTTTATTTTTTTAAAATTAACCAGAACTTTTCTTTGTATTTAAAATGATAAGATTAGTGTTTATAATTTCTTTTGTTAATAGTAATGAAATATTTTTATATTTTTGCAATTTTCAAGGTTTTTTTCTCTAACAAATATTGTTTATATGTTTTAAAAGAAAAATTATTTTAATACGTGTGTTTTTTATCACACATTTTTTTTTTTTAAATATGTTTTGCAAAATTATCTCTAACATACTTGCGTCATTTTTACTGGTTTCAATTCAATAGAATACAATGAACTTTGTGTTTTTTTTTTCATTTTGTGCGTTCAACACGAGCCCGTCGCACCACATTTGCCAAGTATTTTTCTTATTTATTTTGAAAATTTATTCAAAACAATTTTTTTTCTGACATACTTTTTTTGTTTTGGTTTATTTTGCAATTTTACTTAATTACTAGGGCATTTCTTTTTGTTTTATTTTTTATTTTTAATAAATCGTAAATATGTGTTTTTTTTTTTGTTAATTTTTTAATATTTATTGTTTTATTCTCAGATAATAAAAAAATTGCTGTCGTGCAAAATGGCCATAATGGCAAACATGTAGAAAATGACAGTAAGTGTTTTCGATTTAACAAAAATTTCCTAATTTGTGTTATATTTTACGAAATTTGCATGCTTTACGATATTACTTTTTTAATTTTTTTAACCCATTTATAGTCGATTAAAAAAATTTATAATTTAAAAAAAATGTACTCTCTTAAGAGAGTGACTGAGAGCAAGCCGAATCTTGTCTACGCATAATTGTGCTTTCAAAAGTGAGCTTTAACTCTCATTTAAGGAAAATTTTATCAATTATAGCTAGTATCGGTTCTCTCTTTAAAAATGGGTTAATTAATTACAAAATTTTGAATTGGCTTTCATTATTTACGATTTATTAAATAATCATTTATAAAATAATCTTAAAGAGGACTTTTTAACAAGTTAATTGCAACATAATGGAATTTATTTTTAAACAAATTAACTTCATCGGGTTATTAACATTTTGCCAACATTATAAACTTATTTCAGTTTAAATTTTTATATAACATTTTCCATTTCTTTATTGAAAAATAGAAATTTTTAAAAAAATTTTATATAAAAGTAAAAATATTTCTAAACTAATATAAAAAAATTTTTATATTAGCTTTTAGAATTTAAAGCTTATTATAAGGAGAAATAGCTTTCAAATAACTTTAGATAATGACAGACATTTATTGATAAATTTCAGACAGAAAATATAATAGTGTGAGACGTTCTTTAGACTAAACTTTTGATCTTTGCTTCGTAGGTTCAAAAGTTTAGTCTTAAGGAAAAAAACTGTCATTAGATCTGTAATTGAGCTGAAAATATTAGACGAAATTGCAACCATTATAGTTCTTTATATTGTAAATAGATTTTGAGTCATATTATAAAAATTTTGATCTTAAGGCAATAAGATTTTAATAGAATTCTCTAACTCAATGAAAATTTACACCGGGGAACCGAATTGTGTGGGAGAGAGTAGGATCAGGGGCATTAAGGTAAATGTGTATTGAAGAAACTTAATGTAATTGAAACTTGTTTAAATTCTGAATACAATTCCCAACAAACTACTGTAAAAATAATAGTTTTTAGCTGCTAAACTTAAATAATTGTCAGCATGAAATGTTAATATCTCATGATCTATGCATTGTTTCTATAATTTTTTTTTTAAATAAAATAAACTTAATGTACTGGTTTTGGGTTTTCTGTTACACTACAAAATAATAGCCTGCACCTAATGTGTTCCCTTTACCACTTCTTGTCCCCCTATTAAATTAACCAACCTACAAAAATACAACTAAAACCTACAAATAACACTCGATTGTAATCTAATACCTTAGCACTCACTTTACCACCAGCCTTCTCTTACACATCTAACAAATATATTTTCTTTAAATTTTTAGTTGAAGAATGCGTAGATCTTGATTTAGAACTTGATACTAGATTTCTAGTAGCCGCTTCCACAGTATTTCTATCAATGTCCCTGAAAATTATAACAGAAATTGTTGATTATGTTAGAAGAAATCCCGAAATTATCCATATTATAGATAGTCAAATAAATGAGTTTATGGTAAGGATTCCGAAACAACAACAACAACAAACAACAACCTAAACTAACATTACCATCAAATCATTATTAATATTTAAACGAAAAATTAAAAAGAAAATATCTGTTACTAATTGTAATTTTATCTTACTTTTTGTTGTTTAATTTTAGTGCCAGTTCCCGCCAGCGAGGACCCAGTTTTACACACCGTCCAGACCGTTGGTAGACTCAAGAACAAGATTTCCCGTCGCGTCTATAGAAATGTCTCCCGACAGATCCGCAAAGTCCAAAAGGGCAATGTAAACGACTATTTAAGCTCCTTAATTGCAGCCTTAAAATTGCATCAATATATTAATTTCATTAATTCCTCCATGGGTACAAATGTTGAACAATCATCATTGACTGATAGTTCCTCCACATCAGCAGCAGCGGCGCCTGCATCATCATCTTCTTCCTCAGCGGGGACTACCAACAACGCAAAACCTGCCACAGCGCAAAAGTAAATTTATTTCATTTTGTTTTTATATTTTTATTTTTTTTTTTCTTTTGTTTCATTTATTAATTTAACAAAACTGCATTGTTGTTTTGTGTTAAAAAAAAAGAAGAAAACAAAAAACTGAATTTATTTATAAAACCCCCTAAACAACAAGAATTGTTGATTGTTAAAAAAAGTGAACAAGTAAAGTAGTAATCAACAAAATCATATATTATTCAGTAAATTTTAGTTTTACACCTTTACCTTGTATCATCCCTAAGATTTTGCACAACCCAACCCTGCTTAAAATTTAGTCGTAGTTCACATACCACGCGCCAATTTATATTTATTAGATGTTAAGTTAAAAATTAATTAAACAAAAAAACAACTGAATTAATTATTGTATCTATACAAACAAATTGTGTATTTAAAAAAACAACTGTTTCAAATTTCGAAATTTTTATTAAGCAAATTTTTATTTAGAATTTTTTTAGAGTGTATATATTTATTAAAAAACAAAAAACCCAACAAAATTTGCTTAAAATATGAAATCATACATACATATTATGCATTTTATTCCCTGCAAAATTTAACATTTTGCATACAATATTTAATTATTTTTCTATTGTGTATTTAATTAAGCTTTAATAATGTAGTTTTTTCTTATTAGAAATCAAAGCTTCAAAGTTGAACTTTAAGCATAAACTGAAATCTTAAGATAACAAAAACTGTATCAAAATTAGTGATGAATAATAAATATATATTATTAATATTATTATTGTATATTTAAAATATTTAAATATGAATTCTTTATAATCAATTATTATAAATTTATAATACTTCTAAGTGAAATAAAACAAAAACACTGAACAAAAAAAATTAAAACCCAATATTTCCTAATTACTTTTGTGCGTGAGTGTAAGAATAACAATAATTTAGCAGCTTAAATCCCAACCTTTCATTTGATGTAACTATCTTCGCAATACGTCCTACGGTTCTCGAGTTATAAGCTTCCAAATTTTGGACGAACATAACCAGTGACTGTATGTTTTGTCCTCAAATGATTTTTAGATTTTCATCGATGTTTCGACGGTTTTTATGAATTTTTGAATGAAATTTGGCATATTTATAAATTGCAATATCGCGCTTCGTATATGCTATGATATAACTTTCTAAGTCCATTATAAAGAGAGATATACACGTCTTAATTATAAATGTCATATTTTAACCTGTTTAAAGAAATGCCTGGCGGGCCAAAGGTTGCCCATCTTGTAGCCAAGTTTCCAATCTATCACATGGTGAAACTTTGACTTAAATACCTCAAGTGGCTTCCGAGATATATCAAGTTAAAGAAATTAGTGTGCGAAAATCCACCTACTACCAGGTTCTGGTGACCTGGTGTTTGAAAAAAATTTTGAAATTTTATTTTTCGCTTTTTGTGGTGCCAAAGATACTTTTTGATTTTGCTTAATATCTCGGGTGTTCTTAAAGATAATTTGATGAAATTTCGTGTGTAGATATAGAATGAAATGGTGAACATTTTGCAAAAAACAAAAATTGACACGCCCACATGCTAAAGTGAAAAATGGGCGTAAACTTAAATTTACTATTTTCGACCACTTTGATTTAATTTTTTACAAAACGACTACATCGACCTAAAAGCTGAAATCCCAACCTTTCATTTGATGTAACTATCTTCGCAATACGTCATACGGTTCTCGAGTTATAAGCTTCCAAATTGTGGTCGAATATAACCAGAGACAGTATGTTTTGTCCTCAAATGATTTTCAGATTTTCATCGATATTTCGATGGCTTTTAAAAATTTTTGAATGAAAGTTGACATATTTATAAATTGGAATATTGCGCTTCGTATATGCTCTGATATAAATTTCCAAGTCCATTATGAAGTGAGATATACAGAAAAAAATAGGCGTAAACTTAAATTTACTATTTCGACAACTTTTATTTAAGTTTTTACAAAGCGAATAGATTGATTAAAAAGCTGAAATCCCAACCCTTCATTTGATGTAACTATCTTCGGATTATGTCATACGGTTCCCGAGTTATAAGCTTTCAAAATTTGGTCGAACACAACCAGAGACTGTATGTTTTGTCCTCAAAAGATTTTTAGATTTTAATCAATATTTCGATGGTTTTTATGATTTTTTTTATAAAATTTGGCATATTTATAAATTGGAATATTGCGCTTCGTTTATGTAATGAAATAACTTTCTAAGTCCATTATGAAGTGAGATATACACGTCTTAATTATAAATGTCATATTTTAACCTGTTTTAAGAAATGCCTGGCGGGCCAAAGGTTGCCCATCTTGTAGCCAAGTTTCCAATCTATCACATGGTGAAACTTTGACTTAAATACCTCAAGTGGTTTCCGAGATATAACAAGTTAAAGAAATTAGTGTGCGAAAATCCACCTACTACCAGGTTCTGGTGACCTGGTGTTTGACAAAATTTTTGAAATTTTATTTTTCGCTTTTTGTGGTGCCAAAGATACTTTTCGATTTTGCTTAATATCTCGGCTGTTCTTAAAGATAATTCGATGAAATTTCGTGTGTAGATATAGAATGAAATGGTGAACATTTTGCAAAAACCAAAAATTGCCACGCCCACATGCTAAAGTGAAAAATGGGCGTAAACTTCAAATTGCGATTTTCTACTACTTTGATTTATTTTTTTACAAAACGACTAGATCGACCTAAAAGCTGAAATCCCAACCTTTCATTTGATGTAACTATCTTCGCAATACGTCCTACGGTTCTCGAGTTATATGCTTCCAAATTTTGCATGAACATAACCAGAGACTGAATGTTTTGTCCTCAAATGATTTTTAGATTTTAATCAGTATTTCGATGGTTGTTATGAATTTTTTAATAAAATTTGGCATATTTATAAATTATAATATTTCGCTTCGTTTATGATATATAATAACTTCCTAAGTCCATTATGAAGTGAGATATACAGAGAAAAATGGGCGTAAACTTAAATTTACTATTTCGTCCACTTTGATTTAATTTTTTACAAAACGACTAGATCGACCTCAAAGCTTAAATCCCAACCTTTCATTTAATGTAACTGTCTTCGCAATACGTCCTACGGTTCTCGAGTTATAAGCTTCCAAATTTTGGACGAACATAACCAGTGACTGTATGTTTTGTCCTCAAATGATTTTTAGATTTTCATCGATGTTTCGACGGTTTTTATGAATTTTTGAATGAAATTTGGCATATTTATAAATTGCAATATCGCGTTTCGTATATGCTATGATATAACTTTCTAAGTCCATTACAAAGAGAGATTTACACGTCTTAATTATAAATGTCATATTTTAACCTGTATAAAGAAATGCCTGGCGGGCCAAAGGTTGCCCATCTTGTAGCCAAGTTTCCAATCTATCACATGGTGAAACTTTGACTTAAATACCTCAAGTGGTTTCCGAGATATATCAAGTTAAAGAAATTAGTGTGCGAAAATCCACCTACTACCAGGTTCTGGTGACCTGGTGTTTGACAAAATTTTTGAAATTTTATTTTTCGCTTTTTGTGGTGCCAAAGATACTTTTTGATTTTGCTTAATATCTCGGGTGTTCTTAAAGATAATTTGATGAAATTTCGTGTGTAGATATAGAATGAAATGGTGAACATTTTGCAAGAAAACAAAAATTGCCACGCCCACATGCTAAAGTGAAAAATGGGCGTAAACTTTATATTACTATTTTCGACCACTTTGATTTAATTTTTTACAAAACGACTAGATCGACCTAAAAGCTGAAATCCCTACCTTTCATTTGATGTAACTATCATCGCAATACGTCATACGGTTCTCGAGTTATAAGATTCCAAATTGTGGTCGAATATATCCAGAGACAGTATGTTTTGTCCTCAAATGATTTTCAGATTTTCATCGATATTTCGATGGCTTTTAAAAATTTTTGAATGAAATTTGACATATTTATAAATTGTAATATTGCGCTTCGTATATGCTCTCATATAACTTTCTAAGTCCATTATGAAGTGAGATATACCGAGAAAAATGGGCGTAAACTTAAATTTACTATTTCGACAACTTTAATTTAAGTTTTTACAAAACGAATAGATTGATAAAAAGGCTAAAATCCCAACCTTTCATTTGATGTAATTATCTTCGGATTATGTCATACGGTTCTCGTGTTATAAGCTTCCAAATTTTGGTCGAACATAACCAGAGACTATATGTTTTGTCCTCAAATTATTTTTAGATTTTAATCAATATTTCGATGGTTATTATGAATTTTTTAATAAAATTTGTCATATTTATAAATTGGAATATTGCGCTTCGTTTATGATATGAAATAACTTTCTAAGTCCATTATGAAGTGAGATATACCGAGAAAAATGGGCGTAAGCTTAAATTTACTATTTCGACAACTTTAATTTATGTTTTTACAAAACGAATAGATTGATCAAAAAGCTAAAATCCCAACCTTTCATTTGATGTAACTATCTGCGGATTATGTCATACGGTTCTCGAGTTATAAGCTTCCAAATTTTGGTCGAACATAACCAGAGACTGTATGTTTTGTCCTCAAATGATTTGTAGATTTCAATCAATATTTCGATGGTTTTTATGAATTTTTTAATAAAATTTGGCATATTTATAAATTGGAATATTGCGCTTCGTTTATGATATGAAATAACTTTCTAGGTCCATTATACACGTCTTAAGTATTAATGTAATATTTTAACCTGTTTAAAGAAATGCCTGGCGGGCCAAAGGTTGCCCATCTTGTAGCCAAGTTTCCAATCTATCACATGGTGAAACTTTGACTTAAATATCTCAAGTGGTTTCCGAGATATATCAAGTTAAAGAAATTAGTGTGCGAAAATCCACCTACTACCAGGTTCTGGTGACCTGGTGTTTGACAAAATTTTTGAAATTTTATTTTTCGCTTTTTTGGTGCCAAAGATACTTTTTGATTTTGATTAATATCTCGGGTGTTCTTAAAGATAATTTGATGAAATTTCGTGTGTAGATATAGAATGAAATGTTGAACATTTTGCAAAAAACAAAAATTGCCACGCCCACATGGTAAAGTGAAAAATGGGCGTAAACTTTAAATTACTATTTTCGACCACTTTGATTTAATTTTTTACAAAACGACTAGATCGACCTAAAAGCTGAAATCCCAACCTTTCATTTAATGTAACTATCTTCGCAATACGTCCTACGGTTCTCGAGTTATATGCTTCCAAATTTTGGACGAACATAACCAGTGACTGTATGTTTTGTCCTCAAATGATTTGTAGATTTTCATCGATATTTCAATGGTTTTTATGAACTTTTTAGTGAAATTTGGCACATTTATAAATTGGAATGTCGCGCTTCGTATATGCTCTGATATAATTTTCTAAGTCCATTATGAAGTGAGATATACCGAGAAAAATGGGCGTAAACTTAAATTTACTATTTCGACCACTTTGATTTAAGTTTTTACAAAACGACTAGATTGATTAAAAAGCTGAAATCCCAACCTTTCATTTGATGTAATTACTTTCGGATTATGTCATACGGTTCTCGTGTTATAAGCTTCAAAATTTTGGTCGAACATAACCAGAGACTGTATGTTTTGTCCTCAAATGATTTTTAGATTTTAATCAATATTTCGATGGTTATTATGAATTTTTTAATAAAATTTGTCATATTTATAAATTGGAATATTGCGCTTCGTTTATGATATGAAATAACTTTCTAAGTCCATTATGAAGTGAGATATACACGTCTTAATTATAAATGTCATATTTTAACCTGTTTAAAGAAATGTCTGGCGGGCCAAAGGTTGCCCATCTTGTAGCCAAGTTTCCAATCTATCACATGGTGAAAGTTTGACTTAAATACCTTAAGTGGTTTCCGAGATATATCAAGTTAAAGAAATTAGTGTGCGAGAATCCACCTACTACCAGGTTCTGGTGACCTGGTGTTTGACAAAATTTTTGAAATTTTATTTTTCGGTTTTTTGGTGCCAAAGATACTTTTTGATTTTGATTAATATCTCGGGTGTTCTTAAAGATAATTTGATGAAATTTCGTGTGTAGATATAGAATGAAATGTTGAACATTTTGCAAAAAACAAAAATTGCCACGCCCACATGGTAAAGTGAAAAATGGGCGTAAACTTTAAATTACTATTTTCGACCACTTTGATTTAATTTTTTACAAAACGACTAGATCGACCTAAAAGCTGAAATCCCAACCTTTCATTTAATGTAACTATCTTCGCAATACGTCCTACGGTTCTCGAGTTATATGCTTCCAAATTTTAGACGAACATAACCAGTGACTGTATGTTTTGTCCTCAAATGATTTGTAGATTTTCATCGATATTTCAATGATTTTTATGAACTTTTTAGTGAAATTTGGCACATTTATAAATTGGAATGTCGCGCTTCGTATATGCTCTGATATAACTTTCTAAGTCCATTATGAAGTGAGATATGCCGAGAAAAATGGGCGTAAACTTAATTTTACTATTTCGACCACTTTGATTTAAGTTTTTACAAAACGACTAGATTGATCAAAAAGCTGAAATCCCAACCTTTCATTTGATGTAACTATCTTCGCAATACGTCATACGGTTCTCGAGTTATAAGCTTCCAGATTTTGGTCGAATATAACCAGAGACAGTATGTTTTGTCTTCAAATGATTTTTAGATTTTCATCGATATTTCGATGGCTTTTATGAATTTTTTAATAAAATTGGCATATTTATAAATTGGAATGTCGCGCTTCGTATATGCTCTGATATGACTTTCTAAGTCCATTATAAAGTGAGATATACCGAGAAAAATGGGCGTAAACTTAAATTTACTATTTCGACCACTTTGATTTAAGTTTTTACAAAACTATCTTCGGATTATGACATACGGTTCTCGAGTTATAAGCTTTCAAAATTTGGTCGAACACAACCAGAGACTGTATGTTTTGTCCTCAAATGATTTTTAGATTTTAGTCAATATTTCGATGGTTTTTATGAATTTTTTAATAAAATTTGGCATATTTATAAATTGGAATATCGCGCTTCATTTATGCTATGATACAACTTTCTAAGTCCATTATGAAGTGAGTTATACACGTCTTAAGTATTAATGTCATATTTTAACCTATGTAACTATCTATCTTACTGTAACTATCATTCGCATTCTCGGGTTATAAGCTTCCAAATCTTGTTTGAACATAACCAGAGTCTGTTATGAATGATTTTTAGATTTTAATTTATATTTCGATTATGGCTCGATTATTCATACATACTTACTTTTCCGTTATACGTTTATACGTACGCTGTTCTCAATTGTTGACTAGTTCAAGATATTTCGCAATTTCTTATGCAATTTATGCTTAGTATGTGACAAATTTATTCATAAGTCCTCCTATGTGATGTTTCTAAGACAATTTTATAATTTCATGATAATTACTTTCTTGAGACATTTTCAAATAGTGAATACATTGCTTTTCTGGAAATACAAAATATATTTTTTTTACTGATAAGCCCTACAATTAAACTTTGACTGTGGTTATTGAGTTATTCAAATTTAATGAAATTTTAAACGAACGTTGATATTTAGAGGTGTGCAATTTATGGACGAGATTAGTTATTAGACGCCAGCACATGCACTGAAATGAGATCATTCTTTCTTGAACTATTTCAGGGTGATATTTACTAATACAATCAAGAAAATAAAACGTGATTAGAATACAATGTTCTTTTTATTTCTAATATTTTAATAAAGTGCAATATTTATTTTTATATTAAATTTTTTCTTTTTAGAAATTTTTTAATGATTATTTGTTTAAGTGTAAATAAATGTTTCTTTTTTTATATTTAACTGGCCTTGTATGTCAGTATAAGGATGCCGACTTTTAAAGAGCCTTTAAGATAAAATTAATATTCATGAAGCATACAGCCATATGCTAACCATAGTATAATTACTACAATAAAATTTCAAAAACCCTAAAATCATTTTTTTTACTTCAGATACAATAAATTACTTTAAAACATTAATCAGACCTTAAAATGTTAAATAAATTATTTAAAATTCTAAAAATTTAAATCATTTTTAAACAGGCAGACAAAATTTTTTTTGGAAATTTACAAATATTTTCTTAATAGGGACAAAAAACCACTAACTGCAAATATCGATGCACATCAACTCTATCAGTAGCAGCAACACAGCTACGATCGACATCGTCATGATCATTTTCATACAAAATTGCAGTTCCAAATGTGGTTTATAGACTCAAACATCAATTCACTAGACTGCTTTACTTCACTCCACTTACTGCCACCACCATTGCCTTCAACTGGTTGTACAAGTTTTTACTTTTTTTTCTAAATATATTTCCAGAAGCTGGTGCTTGTTATTTCTCAAAAGCTAAATAAAGAAAAAAAAGAAAAAAAAAAGATATGTAAAAACTCACAATAAATTGCCATTTATTTATTACTTCGAGAACTACAGATCACCACAAAAGACACTCATTCCCTAGATGTGTGTGTGAGTGTCTTATTGCATGGACTTTGGAGTCTTGTGGCTGTGGATGTCTCCAACCACAAAATTACAAAACTCGTATTATTTGCAAAAATAAAAAAAAAAATATTATAAATAAGAAATGCTAGCAAAACACCACTTTATCATCTTTTCTTGAGTTTTGTATCCCAGAAATATAAAAATGTACAGAAAAAAGGGGATAGAGACAGCAATAAACTCAAGGAAAGACGTTTAAGTATAATAAAGATTATGTGCATAATAAAACCGACAAAAATCCGAGTACACAAGTCCCAAAAATAATTTGTTTGTTTTTCAAAATAACAAAAATATTCTTCATACACAAAAATAAAATTTATACGAAAATAAATTAAATGAACTCGAGTTAAGATTATCAAAATATTATATTTTCTACAGAAAATTAATCGACATATACAAATCAGAAGAGTTTTCGTCAGATCGTCAGAAGAATTTTTTTATAGAAAATTGATCGTCCGAAGAATATTCTATAGAAAATTGATCGTCAGAAGAATTTTCAATAGATAATTGATCGACAGAAGAATTTTCTATAGAAAATTGATCGATAAAAGAATTTTCTATAGAAAATTAATGGCCGGAAGAATTTTCTATAGAGAATTGATCGACAAAGATAGAAAATTGATAGTCAAAAGAATTTTCTATAGAATTTTTTATAGAAAATTGATTTAGATAAGAATTTTTTATATAAAATTTACCGAGAGAAGAGTTTTCTATAGAAAATTAATCGACCGAAGAATTTTTTATTGAAAATTGATCAACAGAAGGATTTTATATAGAAAGTTGATCGACAGAAGAATTTTCTATAGAAAATTGATCGACAGTAGAATTTTCCATAGAAAATTGATCAACAGAAGAGTTTTCGATAGAAAATTGATCGATAGAAGAATTTTCTATAGAAAATTGATCGATAGAAGAATCTTCTATAGAAAATTGATCGATAGAAGAGTTTTCTATAGAACATTGATCGATAGAAGAGTTTTTTATAGAAAATTGAAATTTTTATAGAAAATTGATCGACAGAAGAATTTTCTATAGAAAATTGATCGACAGTAGGATTTTCCATAGAAAATTGATCTACAGAAGAATTTTCGATAGAAAATTGATCGATAGAAGAGTTTTCTATAGAACATTGATCGATAGAAGAGTTTTCTATAGAACATTGATCGATAGAAGAGTTTTCTATAGAACATTGATCTACAGAAGAATTTTCTATAGAACATTGATCTACAGAAGAATTTTCTATAGAGAATTGATCGCCAAAGATAAAAAATTGATAGTCAGAAGAATTTTCTATAGAATTTTTTATAGAAAATTGATCTAGAGAAGAATTTTTTAAAGAAAATTGACCGAGAGAAGAGTTTTCTATAGAAAATTGATCGACAGAAGAATTTTCTATATAAAATTGATCGGGAGAAGAATTTTCTATAGAAAATTGATCGACAGAAGAATTTTCTATATAAAATTGATCGGGAGAAGAATTTCCTATAGAAAATTGATCGACAGAAGAAATTTCTATATAAAATTGATCGGAAGAAGAATTTTCTATAGAAAATTGATCGACAGAAGAATTTGTCTATAGAAAATTGATCGATAGATGATTTTCTGTAGAGAAGCTGAATTCTACCAAGAATTTATAAACATCTCTGTATACTATATACGCTTATTTTTTAAAAAATCTGATAACATATGTATATAAAAAATTCAAGTAAGTCGATAATCAATTATTTAGAATACACGTGCGATCAATAATAATAAAACAAAAAAAAAAAAAACAGCAAAAAAATGCTCATAAAAAAGAATATAACAAATAAACAAATTTATAAATAAACAGAAATTTATTACAAAATGTGGCGAAGTCTCTTCTTTACAGAGGAGTATAGAAAGTAGACGCATTCAATTTCAATAAATATGTACTAAGTAAGTATGTACCTAAGTCAGCGTTTTATATTTTATTTTTTTAAATTAAAGTACAATTATTTTCATTATTACTTATAGCAGACATGTATTGATAATTTAAAATAATTTACGTAAAAATAATGGACATTGACCAATTAGAAATAAATTCTTTATAAAGATCTAACGAAAGTTGTAAACAACCTAAACGGTATTTGAACGATTTTTTTTTTTTTTTTGAAAAAAGTCATCATATTATCAAAATTTTTTAATTATTTTAATGAATTTTTTAAATAGAATTGAGTATTTGAAAATTATATCTTAAGCTTACTTATACACCTCGTAAACATTTGAATTATGTATTATTTTTAAAATTTAAATACATTCAACTTTTTTTTTTGTAGTTGCACTGAATTGACCTATTTAACCATATCAAGTTGTTAAATTTCATGTAGAACTAAAACTAAAACAAAATAAACAGATTTTTGCATACTTGAAATTTAATTAAGGTTATTGTTTCTTACTAGTTGAATTGAAAATATTGTTGTTTTATTAAAAAAATTTTAATGAAAGTGAAACATTCATATGCAATAATTAAAAATTTATTATTGTTTTTTTTTTGTTTTATTTAATTATTAGCTGGCATAAACAATTTTCTATTGGAATTCTTTTAATTTAATATTCATACAATTCATACTGTCAAATCAATATCAAATTGCGCTTATCACCAAGTTTTTATTTGCAAATTTTGTATTAATATTAACTTCTGTTCTAGGCAGATATTGTAAATAATGTATTCTTTCTCAAATTTTTTTAACAAACTTTAAAATTTTTTTCCACAGAAGAATTTTCTTTCGAAAATGGATAGATAAAAGAATATTGTATAGAAAATTGAACGACAGAAGATTTTTCTTTAGAAAATTGTTGAGCAGAATTTTATATAGAAAATTATTCAACTGAAGAAACTTCTATATAGAGTTGTTGGACTGGTGAATTTTGGATTGAAAGTTAATCTTCGGGGTAGATTGAGCTTGCTCATGACACCTGTCTTTCCCCAACGTGACTACTTTGGCAAGAGATTAGATAGCTCGAGTACTCCAGCAAAGTACTTGTGCATGGACCGGTCAAAGCCAATGTACAAAAATTGCCACCTGAGTTCTTCATTGAAGAATAAAGGAGCGATGGTAGACCGTTCTCAAGTCTACCCAGTGGATGAAAAAGACCACCGTGAGATAAGGCCGTCAAGGCAGGTGCTCACAGTCATGTCCCTATCTACTGCCACCCCGGGCATGTTTCCTTGATTAACTTTCTATTGAATATTTATCGACTAATTTAGTTTATATTGAATATTGATCGAGTTGATGCATTGTGTAAACATTTTCTACAAAAAATTGATAGAAAGAGGAATATTCTCTAAAAAATTTATCCATAGAAAAATTTTCTTTACAAAATTGATCAACTTTTTTTAGAAAAATTGCTGGATGGAAGAAGTTGGTTACGAAAATTGATCGACTGAAGAACGATAAAAAAATTTTCTATAGAAAATTTATAGACAGAAGTATTTTCTGTAGAAAATTGACCGACAGAAGAATTTTCTATAGGAAACTGATGTTCAAAAGAATTTTCTATAAAAAATTGATCAAGAGAATTTTCTATAAAATTTTTTTTTTCTATTTAAAATTAATTGAAAGAAGAATTTTCTATAAAAAATTGATCGACATTAGAAATTTCTATAGAAAAGTGATCGACAGAAGAATTTTCCATAGAAAATTGATCAAAAGAAGAATTTTCTATAGAAAATTGATCTACAGAAGAACTTTCTATAGAAAATTTATTGATAGAAGAATTTTCCATAAAAAATTGATCGGCAGAAGAATTTTCTATGGAAAATTTATCTACAGAAGAACTTTCTATAGAAAATTTATTGACAGAAGAGTTTTCTATAGAAAATTGATCTACAGTAAAATTTTCTATAGAAAAATGATTGACAGAAGAGTTTTCTACTAAAAATTGATCGACAGAAAAAATTTCTATAGAAAATGGATTGACAGAAGAATTTCCTATAGAAAATTTATCGAAAGAAGAATTTCCTATAGAAAATTTATCGACAGAAAAATTTTCCTATAGAAAATTGATCGACAGAAGAATTTGCTATAGAAAATTGATCGGCAGAATAATTTAATATAAACAGACGAATCAATAAACTTTGACTATCTATCGATAACATAGAAAAGTTATCGATGAATAGCAATTCGTAAAAAATCATTCCTTTAAATCTCCCGCATAATACATAATTAAATAACAACAAAACAGTAGAACTAAGGCAAAATTATAAATTCGAGTACAAAAACGAAACAAAATAAGTAAAATAAACTGAACAAATAAAACTCACACAAACTTGAGTAAACAGCGAAGAAAAAAAAGTGATTAATAAAAATAAAAAGTATTTTTAATATAAATATGTTCAAACATATATACATTTATATGAACACAAACAATGTATGTAGAGAAGTATAAACACACAGAAAAAATTAATTTTAAAAAATTTTCAATTAAACGATTAATCAAAAATTTTAAAAGGGTTCAATTCATTTTGTATTTGATTCATAAAAATGTATAATCAAATACGTATTTAACAACAACAAAAATAGAAAAAAATAAAAATTTTGTGTACTAAATCAATTATAAGTAGTAATTGAATATACAATTTTTGTTATAGGTTGAACTTCAAAAAATAAAATAATTGAAAACGAGGTTTTGGTAATTGAAATCGTTTTTCAGTTTTTTCTGTGCATATAAATAAATAAAAAAAAAATCATAAAGAAGAACAAGAGCAGTCGAACAAAACAAAAAAAGTTGTTGTTTTGGTTGAGTTTTGTTGTATTTTTCTACAATAAGTTCAAAGTACGACAATGTGGCGTGATTTTGTTCTTCTTCTCTACACAAATTTGTTGCAG